CTCTAGAATGCTTTACACACTCTAGGAGTCTCTATACTCTTCCACTCTCTTCCATATCCTTCCATACTCTTCCATAAGCTTCCGGAAGGTTCCACACATCTCTAGAATATTCTAGAAGATTCTGCACTATTCCACAAACTTCTAGAGAGTTCTAGACTTCTCTAGGATTCCCCGAAACGTTCTAGAAAATTCTATACTTCTTTAGAAAGCTCTAGAATTTTCTAGAACCTCTCCAATTAAGGAGGGATCCCAACAGAAATAAATGATGTTATTTATACTACCATGGGGTAGGAGTTAGTGGTGATGTGGAGGTTCATGAGTGACTAGTTTCTCAATCACCAAATCTGGTGCATCAAATGTGTTTCCCGCTAATATCTCACTTTCCCACCAAAGGTCCCAGACGGTCGTCCCCGAGCTCCCTACTTCTGGGCTTAAGAAAGCGCAAGGGCGTCAATGACAAGCGTCGCGCAATCTGGACGTTCGTCAGATAGGCCTCATGGGGTATTGAGCCGCTCCCAAGTTGGGCCTTGATCGCTTTCTTGTCGTGGGATAATGGGTCGTTCCCATATCGGGCCAATTACCCCCAACGTGTTTATTTTATCACTTAAAAATATCATGCAAGTGGTATATTTTTACTTATAGTGTGTGTGTGTAGGGAGTTGTTCTAATGAGAACACCTCTTATTGTGAGAAATGAGAACAAATCCTAACCAACCATCTTACAAAATGACCAGCTATTACGTAATTAGTGCATAACAAAAGCATGCACTTTCGCACATTGTAAACTACCTCAATCGGAGATAGGCGTGTGCAAATAAGAAAGGGTGAAATGGTAATTAACAAAGCAAATTCCTTTAATGGGCAGCACCTTCCGTTTTTTGTTGTCATTTAATGCAAGAGTTGAAGTGCCACTATCCGAAAAGGTAGGTTAAAATAAAGAAACAAATCATATAAAATGTTTTTAATTTAAAATTGATTTAACTTTTTAAATTATAATACAATTTTATAAAAAATTGTATCAAATTACATAATTTTTTATTACCTTTCATATGACACCAATATTGCATGTATAATTTTTTGTTTGAAAAAATAGTACAATATGTGTACAATAAATCACAACAACCCTTTCAGCTTCCACACACACAAGAACGCATATTTAACACACAACCTTCAATATTTGATGCACATGAGAAGTGGTACCTCACACATAGTTTTTATTCAAAGCACCATAATGAGTATCTTAATCACAAAAAGCATTATCCAATACACAACAATTAAAAACTAATATCTAACTCACAAGGATTCACATAGTACACATGAACTAGTATTGAAAGCACAAATATGTATATACGTTAGAGTATTCGTATCTAGCACAAAGTATGGAAAGAGAATCACAATAAGTATATCATGCACAAGAACCAGTATCTAACACACAATCCTGAATGTGTAATGAACATGAACCGGTATATGACACACAACCCATTTATGTAATGCACGTGAACTTGTATCCAACTCACAATTCATATATATAACATAAAAAGGAAAATATATGTTGAAAAATGTAACTATGATATGGTGATCAACAACCGGAGAGAGATAATTGAATAAAAAGGGAATGATGTTTTAATTTCTTTTTTTCATAAATGGAAAAGTCAACTCCATTTGTACGTTATTTGAAACACCATGCAATTAATGGTGACAATAGTGGACCGGATGAATTAATTGCCATTAGTCGGTTACAATAAGTGCTTAGGAATAGAATACCTAAATACCCTTGATTTAATTACCATTGAGCGTAGATCGGTTCTTGTTAATGGATGGTTGAGATGTGTTCTCACGTTAAGACTCGTTCTCATTTGAACCAAAACCTCTCTGTGTGTGTGCGTGCGTGTGGGCGTGCGTGGGTGCGTGGGTGTGTGTGTGTTGAGTTTATTAATGTTTTTAATTGGACTAGGCTTAAACATTAGCGGGGTAAACTTAATATGAAAAATGAAAAAATTACATTAAAAAATTGTAAAACACTTAAGTTACTTTGGTTTTCATCCAATCATAACCTATACGTAGATCCTTCCCAACGTACCCTTCAACACTCCATCTAAACATAATGTTAGTCACAAAGAATAATAAGATAAGATTTACAAGATACATTCAATATGGAAATATATTGAGTTCTATCATTGAAGCCCAATTTACATTCTTGTAATTGTTTGGGTGATGATGCGGCCTCAAGGATGGGGTGGCATCTTTTCTTTTGTTACAGTAACTTCATATTATAAGAAGATACCAAGTGTGACAATAAGTAATAGTGTAGTAGTAGTACAATAAAAGACCATTTGAGAGGCTAATGAGGCTTGAGTGCCTTAAGCTACATTTGAAGTACGGAGTATATATTTTTAGGAGGTTGGCATTTTTAACCACAAAATATTTTATATCGTTTATTTTCTAAAATAAGCTTTATTTTAAAAGTTAAGTGTTTCTTTGATAATGGTTCCTCTAATATGTTGTGTTGATAACACTTTGTGTCAAAAAGGAGTTTATTGTCAGACATGAGTCACATGACAATATGGGAAAGTGGTTACGTTGATAATGCCTCTTTTTTAAAGGAAATTTCAAAACCCCAAGATCAGAGCAAAAGCATTTATAGTCCCTTAAAGGCATAAAAACTGGTCTTCGTTTGAAAGATGTGATATAATCTGCATTCGTAAAGACTTATTTATGTATGAATCTTGTTTCTTGTTGTAAATAAAAGTTAGGCATGAATCTTTGTAGTCTTATGTTGCAGAAGTTTTCTCATCCAACATGGTTTGGAATGAATGATATTCTCATGTTGGTATGAATGGTTTTCTTATATAATTTGAATGCTTGATATCTCATCTACTTTTCTTATGAATTCCAAATATGTACAAGGTTCAATAGAAATCTCTTTTATCTTTCCTAATACGTATCTTTATGGCCTATTCTAGTAATATAGTTTCGTTTGAATATTTTGATCACATTTGACATTAGAATATGTAATAGGCTGAAGAAATAATAAAAGACTTTAAGATGAGAGGTATGTACATACTAAGGGGTGTTCATCGGTTCGGTATGGTCGGTTTTCGGTTTGGTCGGTTCGGTTTGGTCGGTTTTGGTTTTAGAAAAGGTGAAACCGTAAACCGAAGAATAAATGGCATGGATATTACCGCCCAACTTTCATAAGGCAAAAGTATGATTCTTTTTAAAATTGACGCAAAACTCACTCGTTTCTGTCTTTGGTCTTCTTCCGCGAATCAGCAGCCGCAGTGCAAGATCTCCAGACCTCCAGAGCTTTCGATATCCATCACCTACCTACGCTCCACCGCTTCACCAACAACAACAGCATCGCCTTTGCCAGCATGTCTGCACTCCGCCGCCGCACATCCGTCTCCAGATCTGGAGAGCACAACACATCTTCTCGCATTGATCCATCATCCCCGTTCCAGCACACCTCGCCCCATCCCCTCTGCAACATCGATTCGTCTCATCTGCTCGGAAGTGGAGCTCGGTCGACCGTGCATTGCATCATCGACGACCGTCTCCTTCACCGCAACTCTCTTCTTCTACTGATTTCTTCTCCACCATCGTCCACCTTCTCCACCGCCGTTGCTACAACTGAATCGTCGGCGTTGTTCGCTAGTCTCGTCAATGTCATCTGCAATTTCAGATCTGGTGGTGTTTGGGGTTGTTGGGGGGTCGGGCGAGTCGCAAAGGGGGTGGGGCGAGGCAGGGCGGTGGTTGTTGGGGCTGTCGAGAGTTGCAGAAGGCTGGGCAGCACTGCTGGGTTCAGGTACTGGCAGGGGCTGAGCAGGGCTGGGATGGGGGAGTAGGGGATGAAGATTGTCTATTGGGATAGGGAGGGGACTGGTGGGCTGGGTGGTTTGGGGAGGGGCTGGGGAGGGGCTGGGGAGGGGGGGATGACAGGTTAAGGTGGGGCTTGGGAGGGGGGAGGGGGGAGGGGGCTGGTGGAGCAGGGGAGGGGGCTGGGGTGTTGAGGTGGGGCTGGGGAAGGGGCTGGTGGAGCTGGGGAGGGGGCTGGTGTGTTGAGGCGGGGCTGGGGAGAGGGTTGGGAGGCGGGGCTGGTGGGCTGTGGTGGGGCTGGGGAGGGGGTTGATGGGTTGAGGTGGGATTGGGGAGCTGCCGATGTGGTCACGGTTAGGGCGACGGCTGTCAGCGGTAGTGGTTGCCGGATTTGGGTGTGCGGGGCTAAATGCGAGTGTGGAGTGGGGTGGCGGTTAATCGGGCGCGGTGTTGGCGGCGGCAGTTTTTGTTGTCCGAACAGTCATAGTGACATGTTTTCCGGCAACAGTGACATTCACTATTGCCTACAATGACATGAGCGGTGGTCGCAGTGACACAAGCGGTGGTCGCAGTGACACGGGCGGTGATCACAGTGACATGGGCGGTGGCTACAGTGACACGGACGACAGCGGCAGTGACACGAGCAGTGGTGACAGAGACATTTGATAGTGACATTAAAATCTGGGAATGTTATTAATATGACTTTCTTGATCACTTTTTGGCCCCTTTTTATAAGTAGTCACTTTTTTAGGAATTGATTCAAAATCCGAGAGTGGCTATGTGGTTGGTGTTGATATCAGAAGTTAAATGGTATGTCTTGGGACTCGCTAGTACATTTTTTATTTATATAAAATGTGTATGAGCGATGTGTACTAATGTTGAATACTTTTGAAAGTTAAATACAAAAGATTGGATCTTGAAACAAAAGTTAAACACTTAATTAATTATGCCTCAATTTAAATATACAAGGGCTTCATAATATGACCGATTCAGCTTTATTTGAAGACTCTCAAGTCTTCACCGGTGTCCATGGATTTTTCAACATTGTTTGATACTATTCCGTATCATGTAACCATCATGTTTTGTAGATTGGATATCTTAAGTCATTAACCAATGATTTTCTATTAATTTATTAATTAAATCGAAGTAGTGAAGAATACACAAAACTAAACTAATACGTAGGTATATGTTAAAAAGACAACACGTATTAAGGATTACTTAACAGTATAAAATTAACTTTGAAAACTATAAATTAAAGTTGCATGCATCTATATATCTAATGTAATTAAAAAAAATTATGAAAATAATACATGTATAATACATTTTTCTTAAGCTCAAAAGAGATGGTCGCCTCCTAACCTGGATAGTTGCTTGTTGTAGGCCTTCGGCGCAAGAAAAGAAGACCTCCACGTTTACTCCACCTGGAGCAATGCCTTCCAAATGTGTTTGAAAATGCAGAGAATTTCTGTCATATGAACGTCTGAAGGGATTCTCTTAGCTCGGGTAAAAAAAAAGGAACTGGCCGGAGTGCCGGACATAATGTGCAAATTGTTTTAATACCAAATATACAAGTTACAAAACAATTTAACATTCCGCACAAATTGTAAGAACGTGGGGGAAATATTTTAGCTGGGGTGTGTATCAATCATCATACATGCCCACCATCCATCAAAGCCACTAGCTGTATATCAAATCAGCACATAATAGAGAATTATGCAGCTTTAAATAAACTACTTCTATTTGCATTACTGGTTAAAGTTAAGTTGAACCTGAATCTTTACTTTAAAGTTGAACCGTCAAACTGCTCCACCAGATCGAACCCATGTAGCTGAACCTGCATTAGCACCATTGAGAAGATGGTCGCCGACATTGGCTACAAAGAGAGGATCCCTTTCCTCATGCTCCAAAATATCATTGATGTTTCCCATATGAATTTGCTGCTCAGTGCTCTCCAATTCTTTTGTCAGATCTTCCACAGTCTTCTTCAATGCAGCTTTGCTCACCTGGCCACCCTCCCTCATTGCCACTCCTATCATTGTAATATTTGGAAGAAAAGCACATGGATGTGGTTCATTTCGTCTTTTTAGTTCCCTGACCATGCACATTTAAAAAGCTCTAATTACACTTTATTCATCAAACAGCCATTGCTAGTAACAATGTCTTCAGTGCGTTTTAGCTTGTCACGTCAATTTTGCCAGTGAAGAGACAGCCAATCACTAAAAGGGAAATGGAGAGCAAACCTTTGCTTATCTGGCAGATAATCCATTTTTTCCTTTGATGAACCGATAAAATTTAATTGGGTATCAGAATCAGATATGGCATCAGTATTAGGTGCCTTGCGTGCTCTCTGGAAGGAAGATATACTCCTGTAATGATAGCATTGGAAAAGAGAAACTAGATTAATTGAAAGCTTATTGTCCTTTCTCAAGTATACTGTAACTAAATTTTTAAAATTACCTTCTTTCGAAAGAGTCAACCATGTAAGGAAATTTTGGTTGAACACCGATCGCTTTCCGGAGCCATCTATTTCCCAATAGGACTTTGTCAACAGCATCTAGAAGCTGGTTTTCAGCAGCTTTAGAAATGACGCTCAGAGGAATTTCGGGGAGGCCAATTTCATCTATTACTTCCAGAACCTGAAATGGAACTTGTCATCTATTCAAGCAAAGTGATTGCAAAGATAACCCTTCTACATTATCTCTTTCATCCATTCATCTCTTCTCTTGTTCTTCCTATTCCCAAGTGCCACTGGTTTGTTATAGGGTACTGCCTCCCGTCCTCCCCAAAAAACAAGAGTCCTGGTTAAATAATATTTTTGTCCCTAAAAAAAGATTCTGTAAAAGTCAAAGATATTTTTTACCTCAGCACTGCTGGTTTCTTATTGTATACTGCCCCCTCCCAAAAAAACGAATTAGGATTAAATAACTGTTTTGCCCCAACAAAAGATTCCAGTTTTTTAAAAGTCAACTATACCTTTTGAGAAAAATCCCCATAATGCCAAGTGAGAAGCGGTTTTAGTCAACTATTCCAAACAATCTCGGAAATAAGTTCTAGGGGTATAACTTATGTAGAGCTTGAACCTTGTCTGACTTGAGTAAAAATATTGTACTTTTATCAACCATTACTCTTTTGGGACAGAGGGAGTAGTTGTTTACACAATAATAAGGATTTTATTATGCCTCTACCACAGACTGCTGATGCTTCTCCCCTTTTTCTACAAAGATTAATTATTGTACCTCTGGAGGTTCCCACATGCTGTCTCCCATCTCTTCAACTAATTCAGAAGAAACATTGTCATCAATACCATCCTGCCGACGTTCTAGGTGCCTTGTATGGATTAGTGAATCGAAATGCTGATCAACCGAATCTTCAAGTATGTTGTCTAACATCCTTTTGTCAAAGAAATATGGAGTATACCTATTATAAGAAAAAGTGATTTGAATTTACATAACACTCGCTGAAAAGAACAATGATGTCAAGGTTATAGTCTAATACATTGTCAAGTAAAAAGGGAACATTTGTAATTTTGAAAATATAAATGAAGCTGCAAGCACCTAATAGGGTGTTCCAGGAGGCTCCCTGCTTCATGAGGGTATGGAGGATGGGCACTGTACACAGCCTTCCCCATACATATGCAAAGAGACTGTTTCCAGAACCAAACCCATGACCAACTAACCAGCCTCAAAAGAGAAACCATATACTTTTGACCAAGGCTTGCCCTAGAGCAAGCACTTTAACAATCCAAAAACTCATCAAGTTGTATCCAATATGTTTGACAATGGTCACACAGATTTAATGTTTCTCTGTTCACATGTGTATATTATATTTTTTAAGAAAAATGGAGTAAATTAACTAACAGTCAGAAATCCAATAATATCATGGTGACTTGGCAGTCGCGTGTGAACATGCCACCTTTTGGAACCCACAATGTCTTATTTTGTTGAAATATTAATTTTTTCGATTCGCGTCCTCTATATGAATTAATATTGGAACCCTCACACGGATGTTTAGGCTCATGATGAGCAAACATAGATGAATTTACCATTTTATACCATCTTTTGTTGCTATTGCAATATCCAGGTTTTGAGCACTAAAAACAGGAACACCTTCTAAATGCTTCTTTTGACCTTTTTGTGGCATTGCATTGAGAAGTTTTTTGGCTTCCTTGACCTGCACATATAGTACTTGGAAGTTAGAAGTTGAAATTCTGTCTCTGGTAGTGTGTGAATATTTTATACACACAAAGAAAAGAACAAGTGTAATCTCTACCAATGAGTTCAAAGGTGAATGCAACTAACCTGCTTTTTATTTGGAACAAACTGAAACAATTCAGGGTTTTCCTACAAAATACATCATATAAAGTGTTTTAATTGTCTCAAAAATAAAAAATATAATAACTAAAACTAATACAAAGCATTAAATAACAATAAAGCATGTGTACACTTTTAAAAAGTACCAATAAACACATTGTATCGTTTCTGTTTAATGAAAACAATCATACAGCTTTAAAAGTATCCAAGTCTTAGAATTTAAGAACATATCTTGATCATCAAAAATTTAAAGACCAACTGCCCATGAATTGCCACATCACAAAAGTACATTCATTATGGCTGTACTTTTCAGTATAAAGAACGTCATTACCTTAAATTGATCATATGCTAAATCAAGACGACATGCACCAACCACGCCACTTGGAACATTCATCCGTTTGACATAAGATACTGAAAAATATTTGACGAAAGTGTGAGAACTCTTAAAAACGGATTAACTTTGCAACTCTTTATGTTCCTAAATAAGCCATACACTTTACTTTTTGGTCAGTACCATAACTATCCTCTATTTCATTTAAGGAAAGCATCCTATGGTTCAAGTTATTTCTCTCCCCGCTAAATAAATTTCTAACTGCACAATTTTTATTTTCCTAACCTCTGAATGGTCAAATTCGGAATTTATTAAGGGACGGAGGGAGTAATATTTCATAATGCTGTCACTTGTCAAGAAATCTAGTTAGTAGGAGAGCATGGAGAATCCGAGAAAACAAATATTAAAAAGAAAATGCAAAAAAAAAACATAACAAAACCCTAATAAAAAGAATGAGCCTACTAAAACTCACTGGAACATAAAGGTGTATTATTTTTCAACAAATGGACCCGTAAAAATCATTATTGTTGAGGTTTGATACGATGGAACTGTCTCCTTGGAGCATAAGACTCAAAATGTCAGCATTGCTAGACAACCTGCATCACCCAGATCCATAAAGAACCGGAACACAGGGCCACTCCTTTCAGTCTTAGTAATTCCATCAACCATCTTCTTAAGCCACTCCGGAGTACTGTAAAACATGACAGATGATTCAACAGGCAATGTATAATGTAACAGGTCTGTAGCACATAAAAATACTCTTCTTCCCGCTCTATTCCTATTTTTATTTCAGGAAAAATGGGAGGTAAACAGACATGATCCTAAGTAGAAGAAGTTGATAAACTTCAGCAGTGACGGGAACCACTTCTCCTTCGCAATTTTATACAGCATGCAATAGCAATCTTTTTACTGTGTGCTCAATTTGAGTGAACAATTCAGTATTCGCATTCCCGTTTTCTATAGTATAACACTTACTGAGTCATTGACACGTTGGCCTGGCGAAACTAATATGGCAGAAATTATGCAATTAGAAACAATATACCCGTGGGTCTAATCCAGCTAAAGCCATGCTTGCGAACTTAGCTAGCTCAGTTCCGATTAGCTACTTTACCCATGGTTCTAAAATTTAAATGCATAGTAGAAGATATGAATACCTTTTAGACAGAAATGGAATGTGGAAGTGCGTGGAGACAGACATAAGACTAGTGCCTGAGAGGTTGCACATACTGAAAACCTGACCAACAAAAGCCGGCCCACCTTTGCCAACAGAACCAGGGCCAGAAATTCTCACAGAAGCGGTGGATTCCAAACTGGGCTTGGAAGGCATGCTTTCGATCGAGGATGACGGAGTTGGGGGGCCCGAATCTAACTCAGTCGATTCGAAGGCGGCAGATTGCAATAAGAGCAGTGGGTGTTGGGTGGAACCGGAGCTGATGAGAGGGGAGCGAGCGCGTGGAGGGGCGGGTTGAAGAGGATAAGATGTCGTTTTGTGGTTGATGAGGGAGTGAAGATTTGAAACGGCGGACTGAACCAGGAAGGAGAGCCTGTTGACGGAGCCACGGGTTTGGGGTTTTCCCGGCGGCGATTCCATTGGAATTTGGGGTTGAATGCTCCGAGAGAGAAGAATAATAAGTCGCCTTTTCTGTTTTTATTTGGACCTTTCACAGTCCACCCCATAAGAAAAGTTAAGGGATGTTTTAAAATTGGAGATATAAAAATTAGAAAACCTATTTACCTAACCATTTTCCAAAATGAAAAATATGAAACATGTTTCACCTCTTTACTCGCTCGCCTTCTGTTTGCCTTCTTTACTCACTCGCCCTCCTCCCTCAACCTTCTTTACTTGCAAGCTTCAACTCTCCCTCAGGCGCCCTACCTTCGTCCCACCTACCCTCTTTACTTATTCCGTTCCGTAGCTATTATAGTTGCTGTCGCCAAATATTGCACGGTTTCTCCAAACAGTCTACATCTCCTAGCTTTGTCCTGAAGACCATCGATAAACTTCTTCAAATGTCAACCAGGGTCCAGCTTCACAAAATATTCATCACTGCTATAGAAGCTGACCCCGACGCCACGGGAACTCCAATTCTTCAGGTGGCTCGTGTTTTGTCAACGAGTTAAAGGTAAGCTCTCAAATAAAATGGAATTTTCACTTTGCCTTGTTGAAAATCTCAATACCATTGGAATCCTGAAATTCATGAATTTTCACTCTGCCTAATCTAGTTGTGAATTTCATTCTTACGTTTTATTTCATTGTTTATCAAAATCTGCCTTAGTCTGCACTTATTCCCTTGGGAAATCAATGGGTGTTGGATTATCTGTGCTTCACTCATATCTGTTCGAATGGTTATCAACCCCTTTTCTATATGCTTCACTCATATCTATATTGATTTCTATAGCCACTCACCCATTAATAAATCTCCCAAAACTGTTGGGCAAAAGTTGTGATGGGACTTTACCGCTATGATCCTTGCAATGTTCAGCCCATACTTGTTTTTTGTGAGGGCTTTCTCTGCTTCAATGCTTTGAGAAGAAAGAAAAGTGTGGAGCCTCCTTATATTGAAGTCATTATCCATCTGACTTTCCTAATATTTTCAAGGCCAATTGAGCTTTTATTTATTTTTTAATTGTTGGCATTCCTAATAGGTGTTAATGAATCATTGCACGGTTACATAGGATTTGTATCTCTTCTGAACCAGTATATAAAACTGTTTACATGTGCTGGTTTGACTCCCTACTGAAAATGTTTCCAAGTAATTGATTATAGTTCTCTTTTTTACACAGTTTTATGTTTATGAACCATTATATAAAACTGATTTTTGACAAGAATCGGAAATTCTGTGTTTTTTTAACTTTGAAGCTCCAATGGTGGATATGTATGTTCCTGCTTTGACTTAGTGGTTTTTTGTAGCTACTTTACTGACTTATAAGATTTTTCACCAACCATTTCAGCAACTTAAAACAATTCCTGGTCAAATTCACCCTACTAAACAAGGTCTTAGTTTCTATTCTTATTCTGATGCGCTCATGTAGTGATGTGATAAAAAAGGGTGTATTTAACCTGTCTGTTAGCTACATCCAAAAACACACTTTGGAGGAAAATATATTTTCAGGCCATATTAGTTATGGAGTATAAGATAATCTTTCCAAATGAAGATTGCAGGGCAGAAACTGTTTATGTTAGATTGTCATTAAACATATAGATTTATTATCGAAGACAATTGAAAATTGAAAAACGAAATGGAAAATTGAAATTCTGGTAAACATGTTTTCTGATTTGGAAAACAAAAAACTGAAAAACGAAAACAGAAAACTGGAGATTTGAAAACAGAAAATGAAAACAGAAAATTGTCTCTGTTAGTAAACAGACCCTAATATTTTGAGTTGAGCTAGGTGTACACATCTTGTACATTCGCCTCTCGTACACAAAATTATTTGTCCACAGATAACTCTATAGAATTGTATGTGAACAGACAACTCTGTTTGCGTGAGACAGACGAATATACAAAAAATGTACACAAAAATGTGTACATCAAGCATTTTTCTAATATTTTTGTCTTGTTTTACTAGGCCAAACATCAAAATGCAAATGTTGGAGAACATTTGTCGGATAATATATAGAAAATTGAAAAGAGTATTGTTGAGGTTTATCCCTTCAACCCGTAGGCCCAACACGTAAGCCTATGGATCTCGAATGAATGGTGGGTATGAACAATAGATAATAGCAAGTAAGACGGGCTCAAAGATGTATGCAATAACGGGTCGAGTATTAAGTGATAATAAAGCCTCGTTACACTGCGCTAATGCTATTGGCCAGCGGCCGTTTGTCTCACACTCAAGTAGAAGAGATGTGAACAATGCTAAAAGCTATAAGGATGCTAAGGTGGGTAAGTTGTCAACCCTTTACAATGAAATAAATGTTACTATTTATGCTACCAAGGGGCAGTTGAATATGCTGACGTGAAGAGTTGGGGATGGCTAAGGTCCCAACCACCAAATCTCGAGCATTAAATGTGGTTCCCGCGCAGAATCTTGATTTCTCGCCTAGTTGTTGGCGACGGACGTCCCTATGGGCCTTGGTCCTGCCATTGAGGATGCCTCCAAGGGTGTGAGGCCGTACGTATCCCGGTTGATGGTGTAGGATTATGCTGGCTACCCTTGGGTCAGAAGTCCTTGAGCCGGGGGCCCATGGTAGAGACGTGCGTCTCCTGCCCTTGGGCCCTGACGGGTACTTGTTGTCCATCCATAGAGACGTCTGTCTACACCTGATTCCCTTGTTGGGCCTCCTAGACGTTCATCCACGTAAGGGTTAAATGGGCCGACCCTCTAATTGAGTCATTAACCAAACAAATATAAATGGAGAAGAGGACTATACCAATACCTCTCCCAGAGGCATACCTCCAAAAGATAAATTAGGCATTAAACCTGAAAGGAGGAATACCAAAGAAGTCCAAGTAATAAGCCTTCCTAACAATATCAGCTAAGGAATTAACAGAATAAAAAACAGTGAATTGGGCCGGCATAGAAATAGGGGAAAAATACGGCCCTATGACTAGAAGAGAGAGGTTTTCTCATTATATGACCAAAAAACATAATGTATGTGTTGTATGACTAAAATTTACTATCTACGATACATGATACACCCATACATGCATGATACATAGTTAAATACGGATACATGATATTTAGCAGAGCAAAAGTTTAGGAAGAAATGCCGTTACCACACGATATCGGATACATGATATTCCGTATTTAACGGGAAACTTAGTGAACACCCTCGTTTTATTTTGTAGTTGTTTTAAAATTTTCAATTTTGATCCAATTTTTTTAAAAAATATATCAATTTTTTTTTATTTTTTATGATCTTTCAAATGATATCAATATTGCATATGAAAAATCAAAAACAAAATCCAGTTAAAAAAAGATATTTAGAAAAAAAAAAGTTTTTGTTTTTCAAATTTTTATATAGAGTGTCGATACAATTGGAAAGATCATAAAAAGTTATTAAATTTGATTTTACAAAAATTAAACAATATTATCGGGCAAGATTCCGGAAAATTATTGCTTTAGACTAATTATGATAGAACTTCACCTATTGTAGTCAGTATTTGGAGTTGTAATCGGTAATACACAGTAACGAAAAGGCATTAATAATAGAAGACAATAACGAAAAAGGCAGTAATTGAAAACAATAATTAAAGGGCAGTAATTGAAGACAATAACGAAAAGGCAGTAATCGAAAACAATAATAAAAGGGGAGTAATTGAAGACAATAACAAAAAGGAAGTAATTGAAAACAATAATAAAAGGGCAATAATTGAATATGTACTGTAATGAAAGGGCAGTAATAGAATATGTACAATAATTAAAGGGCTGTAATAAAAGTCGTACATTAATGAAATGACAGTAATATGAGACGCGCAGTAATGAAATGCCACTAATAGCGTACAATAATCAAATGACAATCATAAAAGATGTACAACAATCAAACGGCATCAATAGAAGACAATAATGAAAGGGCAATAATAGATGATGATGATATAATAATAATAATAATAATAATAATAATAATAATAATAATAATAATAATAATAATAATAATAATAATAATAATAATAATAATAATAATAATAATAATAATAATAATAATAATAATAATAATAATAATAATAATAATAATAATAATAATAATAATAATAATAATAATAATAATAATAATAATAATAATAATAATAATAATAATAATAATAATCACAATAATAATATTAGTAGTATCAACGAAAGCATTTGTCATAAATTCCACCTTTCACAAAGATAATATTTTGCAAAGATAAGAAAATAACTTGGAATAACAGGTCATCAACCGGTCGGGGACCAGTGAATGAAGATGAGGTGCAAAGGTTGGATTATTCATGAATAACGAAAAGGTGGGACTATTAAAAGAAGACCGTTAAAAGGTTGGATTATTAGTTTCCATTTTCCCTTTATGGTATATGGAGTATGTGTTAAGTCCTTTTTTTAGGAATGATATTAAACATGGGGTGTCTAGCATTGATAGAACGTGCATATCATTTGCAAAAAACCAGGAAAACGGTTACCATATTTATCAATTGACCTATTGATGAGGATATTCGTGGAATACGGATGAATGATGTGAGATCACCATGCATCGTATTGAACCATCAAAATAGGAAAAAAAAACATAACTAAGTCATATCTTGAAAAATGCATGATGTTTTAGTCTTACGAGGGATCATTTTCTCTAGAAATAGCCATATAATGGGTCATCCAATTTTTTTTCACGCCAAACATGACCAAATGAACGTTGTCCGAACGGCCTGCTCCAAAAACTCCTGAACCAACGTACCCTGATTATCTCAATCACTCTCATGGCATCAGACTTTACTTGAAAACCAACGCAGGACTGAACCAACGTACCCTGATTCCATCTTCCACCTCGCAACCGTAAATAGTGTCCGCAGCTTAGCCTCTAGACTGGATTCAACATGAATCGGAAAACTCAGACAAAGACCATTTCTCTCTTGTCTCTCATTACAAAATCGCCGGCCGCCCTACTGGGTAAGAAAGAAGCATCGACATTTAATTTCAACTTACCTTTAGGCTTAACCCATTTTGCAATAGCCACCACTGTTTTTTTTTTCCTTGAAAATCAAATCAACCTCTCTTCGTATAAGATATTAGAGACCTCCTTAAACTTTGTAGACGTTAAACTCATAACCCAACCCCATGTGAAATGAAACTTATCCCATGACATTAGGGCTGGACTCGGGCCGGGCGGCCCGACCCGGGACCGAACCGGCCCGGTCACTGTTTGGCCCGGCCCGGCCCGTGGCCCGGTGGGTCCACTGGTTCGGTTTGGCCCGGCCCGGGTGCTGGGCGGTCCGGGCTCGGGCCCAGGTTTTGGTGAACCGGCCCGGCCGGTTCGGGCCCGGTCCGGGCCGGATTTTATTTTTTTTTTTTTTTGAAATTTTTTCAAGTTTTAGGTTGGATTAGGTATTTTGGGCCATTTGAGGTGGTTTGGGATGGTTTGGGGTTGAGGGGGAGGGGTAGGGGATTAAATAGGAGAACCAAAAAAAAAAAAAATTGGGCCGGTTCGGCCCGGCCCGGCCCGGTTTGGACCGGAACCGGAACCGGCCACCGGCGGTTCGGGCTCGGGCCTCCCCTTTCCTGGCCCGAGGCCCGGCCGGGCCCAAGCCCGAACCGGCCCGAGTCCAGCCCTACATGACATCATTGTAAAAATATATATATTGTAAGACCCGAACCGGACCGGCCGGTCCAACCTGGAACCCGCCCACCCGGTCACCGATCTGGTCCGGTTGGACATCGAACCGCAAATGTGATGAAAATCAGATTTAACCGGCGACCCGCCAAGACCCGAGACGGACCCGACCCGCTCCAAACTCGGGAAATGTCAACAAATAGCAATTTGGGGTTCCCAACCAATGGGCTACGTGCGCCGGTTAGTCATGGACTCGGTTCGGGCCACCCGAGCCGGGAACCGGCCCGGCCCGCCACTGTGCAGGACTGGCCCGGCCCGGTGCTTCGGGCCCGATAACGGTCTTTGACCCGGACCGTGGGTAGTAGCGGGCGCGGGCTCGGGCCGCCGGTTGGTAATTTCGGATGCTTAACTATCCTTATACCTTCCGAATGTGTACCATTTCATTGAGCTTTAATTAGTTTGTTAAATAGTTATTTTATAATAAAAATTATACTACGTAATAGATACAAACCAATGCTATTTATACTTCCTCAATCCGCATTAGGTGTGCCATCTTTATTTTTTATTTTTTCTTATTTTGTAATTGGTATTATGTTCATATTTAAATTATTTATCATCCATTTTATACACAAATGTATTTTAAATTTTGTTAAAGGTAATATACTTTAATAAAATATAGTTTTTTAGACATTAATATATTTGATTCCCAATATTAAATTAAGGGATATAAGTTTTTTATTCATGAATTTAATTTTATACGGAGTATATAAATATGTGTATTCGTGTTGACCGGGTTTGCCGGGTTAACCCGCCGGGTCCGGGTTGACCCGTGACACAATAATTTGGGGGTGTTTGGAATTGATTCTGCTTCTGCTTCTTTTTTAAAGCAGAAGCAGAATCAGAATCGGTTTTCAGAAGCTGGTCCCCCCCAGCTTCTAAAAAAATTGATTCTAGGAGTAAATTAAAGCATCAAAATCACTTCTGCATAGTCTTGGACTCGGACCGGGTGGCCCGGCCCGGTGGCCCGGCCAGTGACCGGTCTGGGTAGGCCCGGCCTAGGGGGTTCCCGGCTCGGGTCACCCAAAAGCCGAACCAGCCCGGCCGGATCGGGCCCGGTTCCGGGCTTTTTAATTTGTTTCAATTTTTTTAATCTTTTCGGGTTGGGCTGGGTATTTTGGGCCATTTGGGGTGGTTTGGGGGGTTGGGAGTGAGGGGGGGGGGGGGGGTTAATTAGGAAAAGGAAAAAAAATGACCCGAGGCCCGGCCCGGACCCGGACCCGGTGGCTACCCGGGCCGGTCCCGGGCCTCCAAATAACCCGAGGCCCGACCGGGCCTGACCTGGGTCCATGACTACTTCTAGGGATGGACCCGGGCCGGGCTGGTTCCGGTTCCGGGCCGGGCCCGGGCGGGCTTTTTTTCCAATTACATGGGTCCGGAACCGGCCCGGGTTGATACGGGTCCGGGCCTAACCGGGCCGGGCCTGGTTCAATGTTTATTTTTTTTTTTGCTTTCTTGTTATCCCCCGACCCCTCCCCCCTCACCCCCACCCCCCAAACCTCCCCAAAACACCCAGCCCTACCCTAGGAAAAGAAAAATTGAAAGAAAAAAAAATTAACCGGGCCCGGCCCGAACCGCCCGGGCCGGTTCAACAAAAATAGGGCCCGAGCCCGGCCCGCCCGACCCGCTCACACGGGCTAAAAGCCCGGAACCGGCCAACCGGGCCCGCACAGTAGCGGGCCGGTCCGGTTCCGGGCCGGTTCGGCCCGGCCCAATCCACCCCTAACTACTACTGCACTTTCATCCAAACACTCTAACTTTTGCTTCTGCTCCTTCAAAGAACCAGTTTTAAGAATCAGATCCAAACACCCCCTTTATCCGGATCACCCTCCGGTCCGGTTCTTACAACATAGTAAAAAACAGCATTTTGATTTTTACGTAGTAATACATACCAGTATACCACATTCCAATTTGAGAGAATCGCAAGCATGTACGCGAGCAGATATCAAGGACATCTAATGCACAACGTATTTCCGATCCCAATTAGAGCTATTCCAGTCCGGGTGAATTACTCGCCCAGTTCCACCCCTTCATATGCAATCCGCCACTGACTAGTGTTTATAACATCACACATACATCTATATCTACATACACAATTGGTATTTCTTCCAATGCATTAAAGAAGAAGCACAAACAACTTGAATGTGTCAAATTTGTGAAAGTTGATGTCGGTTGAGAGAAGGTTGAAGGACCAAGGGCCAGGTTTAAGGATTGAGAATGACATACTATAGGGACAAAGGGCCAGCGCTAGTGATACTCATACAGTCTATTTGATGCAAAACCATCTTCTCCCATTTGTTGCATGCCAGGCAAGACTATCTTCGTGAAAATTAACAGTTAGAATTTTGCCAAAAGAAAACCAACCACATGTGGAGCTCAAGAATGAGATCAGATTCTAGGGTTCCATTAACCGATTTCCATTATATTGTCATCATCAGATCACAAACTGAAAACCCTCACTGTGAAGGCACTGAGGAATGTGTAACTTGATCAAGCTGATTCAGATCAACTTCATCCAACATATCTACACAAACCTCTGTGTTTTCATCCAACTTCTCGTCCAACTCAGAATAACCTTCAGTATCAGATTCCTTTGCCTCAGGGTCGCCATAGTTACTAGTGTCCTTTACTCTTATTTTGATCCTTTTCCCCCTAATATAGCGATATTTCCACTTTTGTGGAGGATATTTTTTCTTCAACTTTCTATACTTGTCCAACATATTCAACTTTACAAATACATCTCCCACCATTTTGACAATGCTAACGGTTGGCCGGACATTGAGTTCTTCCATGTCAGCAAAAACCTGTAGATGGAGAAAATGTCTTACATTATGCCAATCACCCATTTTAATTCCTACTAATTTTTTTCGGATGAGATGTTCATCCCGACAACTGAGTATGTGTAAAGTCATGTGAGGTAAACAACAGCATCTGAAGTTCAAAATATTTGGCATAGCATATGATTGTTATAGTGCTAAGTGAAAAAGGCATTAGTGGTAATGACAAAAAATGAAATTATGTAATTATATTCATTACAACATATTTATATTTCGATTCATGTCATGTGATGCTACTAAGTGATACTATTGGCTTCACGCGCCTATCACAACACCCTCCTCCTTATCCTTCATTAATATAAATTTATTTTTACAACTTTGGCTATTTAAGATATATGATTGTTCAAAAATGATCAATGATTGTTCAACGTTAAGTCGTTAAGTGATATGATGGATGGGCCAAAAGCAATAAAATATTAGGGCAAATAAATGGTATATGGGTTTATCAAAAGTGGCGAGTGATAATGCCACCAGAGCTGTGAACTTAGAATACGTGCAAATGGTGCAATGCGTGATTATCTTCGGGCATATTAAGAAGTTAACATGTAACACACCATTTTAAAAAATCAGCTGATGAAGGGAAACTACCTCAAACATCTGTCCATGCATTTTATTCTGGTAGTATATAGAGATCATTTTCTCAAAGAAAATGCGAGGGAGACATTCGAGGTTCTCTGAAAGCAACTTATTCCAAAGCTCTTCAGCCTCTTCAAGCCTCCCGTCTTCAGCCAAAGCATTCATCAAGGAATAATAGCTACCCATTGTTCTCCCCTGACCCTTGCTTAGCATCCACTTTGTCATCTAATACCCAATGTAGTGTTAGTGATTAATTTACAGTTCAAAACACGTGAAATGTTGGGAATAATGATATCTGAGAGATATACCATACTTGTATTATTCTTTTCCACTCCTTTTCACGCTCAAGGATCTTAAGAGCTTTTTTCACTGTGACCAATGGGAACTCCAATTCCCAGGCAACAAACGCATCAAGACTACCATAGACTTCTTCCTTAACATTTGATAATCCCTTTATCTATGGTAAAATAAAATAGTTCAAAAATAATAACAAAGAGTGTCTATTTGCATTGGAAATGGAAAATTTACAAGGAGAATGTAGAGCAAAGAGTATCCAAGATGAGATTTTTACTTATTAAAAGAACCTTCCGGACATGAATCGAATACTGGTGGGGAATAAACTTACCGACTCTACAAGTTTGAGCGATTTAGAAATGGTCCCTATTCTCCTCTTACTCTTCCATACACGAGGGCACCTAGAACGAGGATCTTTTGCAGCACAAACCTAAGAAAACATAAGCCAATGGTCAAGTAAACTTCAAGAGTAAGCTAGCTGCACACATAGTTTCTTAAGGGTATCTTAAGGGTACTCAAAATCTAATAGAAGGAGATGAATAACAAGTCAAAAGAATACTTTTAAAGATGCTTCCCATTGGTTCTAGGCAACACAATTTAGAAATGAGGATTAGGAACTTGTTTCGCATGAAGTAAAGAATACACTGACTCATTTTGGAGTTTGGAGGGTACTTCAACTTGTCTTCATGGTATCATTATGGTACTTCCGTCAACCATAGAGACATAATTTAGGAGGAAACTGATTTTATAATGTGGTAATTTTTAGTTTAGATTACTTGAAAGTTCTAAAAAAGTTAAATAAGATGAGATGTTTGATAAAATTATTTGTTAACTCGGCTAATATATTTGTATAGTAAATCGTATATATTGAATTAATAGGTATATTCTAAATTATACTTAATGTAAGTAATTTCTCAGTTGAAAATAATCAAATATGCTGAAATGCTATGAAATTAAAAATGAAGTAATGTTTAGTAGTTGAATAAACTAGTACACTTTTATTGTAAATGTTAGACTTGAATTTATAGGGACCTTGACAATGTTCATTTAATTTAGTTTTAAGGTAAAATGTGATTTTAGTACACATCCAAATTGACTTTGGGTGTAAAACTACACCATAATTCACAAGGTATATACTAGTATGAAAAATACATGCTCCAAATGATGCTTCTGGTCGCGAGAGGTGTACCCTTATGAGAGAATATATAAAAATTGAAAAATCTAAGGAAGTGTCTTGTCATGATTAGGTGTTTAAAGGTTTGTCCAGTACCGATTAAATGTCATAACAATAAAAAACATGAAAAAATTAAGATATTGAACCACTATTCCTACTATCATGTTAATATATAGGAAATAACTCCAAGTCTTAATCTTTGCACGTGAAAAAGTTGGAAAGCAGTGGAGATGTATATGATATATCTAAGAATGAATCACACTCACTATAACCCTCTACTTCAGGCTGTGATTATCATTGGCACAGTGAAAAGTAGAGGAGAGAAAGATAAGCACATTAGCTAGGAATAACCAGCAATTACTGTTGGAGTAAACTTTTTGGCCAAGAGAGTATAAGCACCACACTAAAACCCTAGAAGTCAAGAGAAAATAGCAATTACCTTCAATTTAATTGCTGAGAATGATTACTAAACTACAACCAAGGCATTGAACACAAGAATACCTGAAGTTTAAAAATGGAACGAAAAAGGTGAATGCTTACAACGGTGGTTCCAATATATTTCTCCGATAATTTAGTAGGTTCTGGTCTTCCAGTGAATATTGTAATAAAGCATCTCAAGGCAAGCATCCTGAGAATAAATAACCAAGAATGGTATGAAGCACCTAAAAAAATATGTCTCACGCATTTCACCGAACGACTGAAACACTAACTCCCAATAAGGAAACCAATCACTTATCTCATTGCTCTAAATTAAAGCACGTTACCAATAACTAGGAATAAACTTTTTTCCAGAAAGAATTTCAGTTCTTAAGAATCCATTATGAATAAAAATCAAACAGATTTTTATCTTAGAATATTTACAGTTAACAGGAGCACCTTGACCGGTTGAGATTGAGGCAGCTAATTAAGCGTTCCAGTGGAGGAGAAGGCAGTGAGCGATGAACATTTCTGAACAGATAAATGGTTCTGAATAGGAGTAAAATATACGGAGTATTTAAATAGGAGTTGGATGACTTTAATACTTAAATTAGGAGTATAATTTTCCGGCCGTTCCAGATTTAGCCTGGTACATTTAGAAGATTGCCCTGCTTCAATTTGTATGTGCTCATACGGCCGCCTCCACTTATCCCTTGCTAGCTCTTCCTTCGTCGGTTCGAAGCTTCACTAGAGGGGCGCCACCATGGGGGAAGCTGGCGACAGAGACAGATGGCCTGCAGGTTCGACTTGGAGGCTGCCGCTGCAAGTGGTGAAGGTCAATGACTAACTAGAGATGCTTCCAGCGGTGAAGGACTGGAATTAGTACAACTGCTTCTATTCTTTTTTATTATGCTCCATCTGCATGAGGTGAAAGTGTGGAATAAAGTAAACTAAGTTTTAATAAAAATTAGGTTAATCTAAGTGAACCTAAGTTCATTCGCAAAATAGTGCTTGGAAATATAAAAGAACCTAGTTTAATGTAATAAATGTTGTTTGGATGAAGGTACTTTAACTCATTTTATATTATACGAGAACTTAAACTCCAAAACCTCCTGATTCGGAGGTTCTTCAATTGAGGTTCTAGTTGTAAAAATGTAAACAAACAAGGTTAATTAAAAATTAAACCTCTAATAACTTAGGTTAACTCCCATCCAAACATACCGTAAGGTTCTTCTAGGTTCTCGGTAGTTAAGTGAGGTTAACACATAACCTAGATTCTTGTTGCAAAAATACAAACAAACGATGTTAACTAGAAATTGAACCTTCAATAACCTATGTTAACTCCCAAACAAACACGTCATTAAAGTAGAAACAGAATCAAAATCAGTTTTCAGAAGCTGATCATCCCCAGCTTTTAGAAAAAATTGATTCTATGAGTAAATTAGAGCACCAGAATCACTTTCCACTTTCACCCAAACACGTCAACTACTTCTGTTTCTGCTCAATTGGAAATTATAAAATTAGTAAAAGATGCTTACTTAAGGATAGTATGCTTTCCCCCAGATTAAGTGAGACGATTGTATAAGGATTTGTGCTAAGTTTGTTAGTTAGTTTAATTTTTAATCAATCTTGTTTTTTTAGGGTAATAATCTAGCTTGTTAGTAAACTTAGGCCCACTTCATATAATTCCAAAAAACCCGCGAAAATCCAAAATTAATGAACTTCAAATTGGAGTTTTAGAGGTTATGTCATTAATGAGTTAGACCGTTTTCAGACAAACACAATTTATTACATTAATCTAGATTCACTTAATTTGTTTCCAGAAGACATTTTACCTATGAAACTAAGTTCAATTAGGTTCACCTAGTTTTTATTAAAATCTAGATTTTATTTGTTACACAAGGTTTACCTAAGTTCACCCTACCTAAACAAAACGTTAGTGACAGAATTTTAAATATTTATGTAAAAGTTTATGTGTACCTAATGTAGATATTTAAAAGTCTAAAAATCATGGATACTCGTGAACTTCCAATCATTCTTATGGACGTTTAAATTCATGGATACTAGTAAACTTTTAACTCATTCTTAATACATTAATTCTCTACATTTATCTTTTTCCTTCACCCAAAATTTCGATGGACCTTTTCTTTTGCCTTCTGTTCGTCACAAGCTCCCATAGCTTCAGTTTCAGAATCATACTAGATTTGGCTATTTTTCTTTGCCCGAGATTACAAACAGACAACTGCTGTTGTGTAACAATTAGTAAACACACTCATTTTGTGAATAAGTAGTATAAAAATTGATCATAAACAGGCCCAATTCTATGACTATTTTCTCAATTTTGAATTTTCTAGTTAATAAAAATAAATTTGAATTATTAGACGATATACATTTGTTGCATTTATTTATTTAATTGTTTCCTATCATTTAATATTGTTAATGCTTATAAAATATTTTTACTTCATTATATTTAAAATTTAAAAAATATTAACAGAAAGTTAACATCGTTGGAATTATTATTGTGAACTTTTCCAATAGAAAATATTTTTACAAAATATATAAAGTTAGGAAATATTAATGTCAATTTTGCCAATAAGTATTTTTGTTGATACTATGTATTATGGCATTTGAAATGTTTTCAATTGCTAGTATTTTTGAGCAATTTAGAAAAATCAAATACTCGGTATATAGTTTGTGTAGGTTACAACTTGTTTTTAACTTACAAGAAACCAATATTTTCGCTTACCTTGTGAGGGCATCACCATTGGTTAGTTTATTTGAAGATTAACAAGATGACGTGTAAGATTATTTCAAAGATTAACGTTGAGAGAAAGAGATTACTAAGGGGGATTATTTAAAAAGAAAATCCGGTATCAATATTCAAATCATATATTATTGTAGATTATAGTTAAAATGCATTTAATGCATGTCATAGAAAAACTAATTATATAAATATCATTGTTGATGAATTATTTTACACTTTGTTATTATTCAAAATTTAATGCATAAGAATGATGTGACAATCAGATGTACTAGAAAAATTGTTTATATGAATAGCATGAATGCACATGCTCTGATTACTTCATCAACTAACTGATTAATTCTGTCAAGAAAACTAACTGATTAATTATTTAATTAACATATTCTATGGAAATTACACTGGAAACTTAAGATGTCAAATTAAATTATTTTGCCCAAAAGTTGCTAACCAGTTGATTAATTACATACTCCGTATGAAATTTGAAAAAAAAAAAACAGTGGATTCATTCAGCCGTCAATCTACGGCAAAATATATGGTACAGCCGGCTGTACCATGCTCATGGTACAGCCGGCATTTTTGTAATTAATTCCAAGTTTTTGACTTTAGTTAAGCTGCTGCCTCGTCTCATTTTTTCCGGCCGGCATCATCTCTGTTTTTCCGAAAAAAGTGTCCGTCTCTTCGTTTCTTCACTTTCTTGGCTTCGTTTTATTCCTTTTCTTGTTTTGTTTTTTTTTTGTGCGTTGCTTTACTTGCGGTTTCTTATCCTCCGTTTTATTTTCTTTATTATTGTTACTAGCGTGTGTACCCGTGCACTGCACGGTAAAATACGTGTTTAAAGTTTTTATTACTCGTAAAATTATGGGGAAAATGAATCGAAGGTGAATTCGTAAACCAGAGTTTAATTAAAAGAAAATTCAATCGACTATGAATAGAGTTTTCAAATTAAACTGAGTGGAAGTCTTTAGGGCTAGCGCATTTCATCTCATTTCACAATGGCTTGGAGTCGTCATTTTTTAACCTGATTAACTTACTGATTTCGTGGGTCAACTTGCATGGGTTGCAGGTTAAGTTGGTTGGCCCATGCAAGTGCGACAAAAAGTGTCACAGATACAATAGTCGGGGGACCCGAGGTGACTAAGACTCCTGTTTTCAAATACACTTATTATTTTACAACTTTTGTTGAACTATTGTTTCCAGGGCCGGCCCAGGGCATGGCTACCCAGTGCGACCGCACAGGGCCCGGATTTTTGAAGGGCCAAAAAAAAATATTAGTATTACACCCCAGTCCAAAATTCCCCGCGTAAATCTAAATATGCTCGAAGAATGTCTCTTTTTAAAAAAATTATAAGTTATTAATGACTATTTTTATCATTACGTTTATTAGTAAGTTGTATTTTAAGACAATTTGCTTGTGTTGCAACTTGAAAAAATGCCCAAATTTTATTCTCGCACAGGGTCTACATTTCTTCGGGACCGGCCTTGATTGTTTCTATGACAATTATTCAAATGAGTACTCTGGTGACATTTATTTTACTTTTTAAGAGTTTTTGCTCACACTCTTTTCCGATACAAATTCCATTAAAAGTCGTAGTGACGTTCATTTCAAGATATTTGATACTCCGTATATTACTATTTATTATATTACACTAACATATACGAAGTACGTAGTATGTAGTACTATAATACGAAGTATAAATTTTGATATAATTAGCATATTAAAATACATTTCGGATATGCAATAGCTAATTTTTCTCTAATGCTTATTCTCGTTTAGAAAATCTTAATAAGGGATATGTCAATTCTCATCTTTAAGGATATCTTATTCTCTCATTAAAAATAACACTTCATACGTAGTACTACATATAATAATACTCCGTAAATGATTTCTCTAACTGCATATAAGGTATTTAGAGAATAAAAATTGTAATGAATCAGGGGGTCAGTACTCTTAGTAAATTGGGATTGAAATAACTTTATTGTTTGATTCATCAGAATCATGTCTACAGAATTTAAATGGAATCTTTGAAGTATTTTAACTGGAACATTTGGAGAGTGTTATTATCTTTACTTTGACAATCAATGTATTTATTTGATGATAAAAAAAATCAATGTATTTATTTATAGTGTTGCAGCAGATAAGTAGATTGGTACAACAGCCATTCGCATGAGTGCTATAAAAAGTGGGATAAATTCAGCAAGTTAAAAGGAAATATGACCAAAAGTATTGATTTGAGGTTACCGTGCCTAGTGGGAGGTCTCGAGTTTGAAACCCGCTACGCACGTAAGGGTTCGAAACTCAATGCATTGAGTTTTAGCCCCCTCCCCCATACCCCGGAGTAAAAATGTTATATATACATATGACGAAAAGTACTGAAAAAAGTCTAATGGTGGTCATGTATATATTTATAAGGGGACATTCAACATGGTATGTTAAATGACATTTTCTTTTCATCTTTTAATTAAATGCTTATAATTGTTGTATAGCATGTACATGTTTTAAGAGGACCAAAAAGGTTTTCTTTAGGTTTGTATATATGAAATTTTGGAAGATGAAGAGGTTCTCCATTCATCTTCTTTTAATAAATGCATATAAATGTAGTGTACATATTTTGTGCTATGTGCACGTCTTTGTCTAGCTACTACATATAGTATATCATAAGAAACATGGAGTAAAAATAAAAATGGGGTTGCCACTTGGCAAATTTTCCAATGAAGAGTCTTGCCACATGTCAATAAGTCCTCCAAAGAGTTCTTCAAGGGTTTGCTTTATTATATTATATAGATTTGACAAGCTTTTTGCTTTGTATTTTTATTCAATTAATATGAATGTATAATGTAAAATACTACGTAGTATTTGATTTTGGAGTTTATTTTTCTCCTTTTTTCAATCAATGTTCTAACATACGTTTTTTTTTTAAATTTGTGCATTATAAAATATTTGAGGAATTAATTTTTTATATTTCTATTTCTAATTTAAGATGAATATTAATCAATTTATTAAATATTGTGTGTTAAATACTAACACGAGTTTTGTGTTATACTAAAATGAGTACCGTGTAAAATAAATGTGCATGAATAAGTATTGCAAAAACAACAAGATTATATTTGTGATTCAAGAACAAATGACTATATATTATTTTTAATATAACATTTCTTATTTCTCGTTTCGTTATATCTAATCATAGTTTATTAGATTGTTAATAACGAATCTACTAGATGTACATATTATAGAAAAGGGTTTATGTTATATTAAAATGAGTATAAAAATTAAAAAAAATGAGCATACACAAATGAATATTTGAACACATTAAAGAATTCAAATGGGCTTTTGAAAATTTTTATACTCATTTTGTAAGTTATGTGGCTTCGTATTGGTTTTATGTTCACTTTAAAATGTCATATCAATGCATATTTCAATAGTATCATAATACATTAGATTTGCATGAGATCCGAATTGATTATAAACACTAGAGTAGAGATCATGATACTCAATTGCATGTTTCCAATATTCAATAGAGGATGTTTAATGCTCAATGAAAAATGTTCTAATGCTCAACTAACAAAGTTTATTATTTTCATATTAATGCTTATTTTGTAAGCTACATATGTTCAATCGGCACTGATGTTATGCTCATTTTAAAATGTCACATCAATGCATATTTCAAAAGTATCATATTATATTACATTTGATTCATATATTGAACTTCATAGGAATTGATTGTAGATATAATTAATAATTAATAAGTTTTTATAAAATAAAAAAAGTGATGAATTAGAAGATACGAAACAGAGATTAAGATGCTCAACAATATATAGACTCCTAATAATCAACATAATAGGTCTCGTGCTAATTAAAACTCCTAATAATCAACAGAATAGGTCTAGTGCTAATTAAAAGTTCATTAATGCTCATTTAACATAAACTGTTATTTTCATCTCAATATAAGAGTTTGATGCTCAATGAAAATGTCATAAAGTCCAACTAACAAACTTTACGCTTTTTCATATTTATGCGCATTTTGATAGTTGCATATGCTCAGTTGATATTGATATTATGCTCATTTTAAAAATGTTATATCAATGCTTTTTTCAAAAGTATTATACTACATTTAATTCGCATATTGAAGTTCATAGAAAATGATTATAGATATAATTTAATAAATTTTTATAAAATAAAAAATAAGAAAAAAGAATGTAAATTAGAAAATATGAAGTTTAGATCGCAATACTCATTGTTAGACTCCTAATGCTCAATAGAATATAATGTATGCTCATTAAACTTATCATAACGTTTTAATATGAACACTATTATATTGCATTTTAAAAGAAAGTAAATCACAATATATAAAGTTGATATCACAATACTCTTTATTCTATTCTTAATGCTCAGTAGAATACTTATGATGTTCATTAAGAGTGTATTAATGCTCATATAACGAAAACCACGATTTTCACTGAAATTACGAAAATGACACCGTTTTTTAGTTATGATATCAGCTTTCTTGTAATAACACAGTACTCATCATTAGAAGATCAATATTCATTAAAATTGTGTTATTGCTCATTAACAGTACACTAATGCTCATTTAGCAGAAACCACGATTTTCACATTAATTACAAAAGTGCCACCGAATTATTTTGTTATTTTTCTCCTGAACCTGTTACTGGGCCGGCTGTACGGTGCTCACCGTACAGCCGGATGTATGATATACATACTCGTCAATCTACTTACTAAATAATAAAGTAGAACTTTGAAATTGAAATTGAATTTTCACTTATTTGCTATTGAGTACAATTAATAAATTTAAATATTGCAATTGAGTCCAATTAATTTAGGCAGTATTTGTTATTAATAGATTCTTAAGGCATGCTAAGTAAATTATGTTACATTCCATATGTTGCTACGTTTGAACATTCCGAAAATAATGAAATCATTAAAGTAGTAATTATAGTATCAAAAAAGGGAAGAAATTAAATACAAATAGTAAATACACCATACATATATTACACACCGTATGCCCTAAAAACATTATATATTTGAATGTATGGAAATCTATTATATTAGAGCTACTAATGAAGTAATGATAGATTGGCTAGGCATAATTCCTTCGTTTTGCTCCGGCTTCTACAACTGAAATGAAAACTTTAATAAATTATAAATTATAAATTAAATTGCAAACGAGTTACAATTAGTATAAGAAACAATCAAACCTTACCGCTCCTTACCAAACTAAATTCAAAGAATTAGAAACAATCCGTGTAAGAAAAAACATACTTTTGTTAACTAAACTCAAAGAATCGGCCTTACCAAACTTAGGGAGTGTTTGAAACTGATTCTGCTTATGATTCTTTTTTAAAGCAGAATCAGAATCAGAATTAGTTTCTAGAAGCTGGTCTCCCCCAACTTCTAAAAAAACTGGTTCTAAGAGTAAATTAGAACAACAGAATCACTTCTGCACTTTCACCCAAACACTCCAACTTCTGCTTCTGCTCCCCGAAGGAGCAGAAGCAGTTTTAGGAATCAGATCCAAACACCCCCTTAGAGATCTACCAGTATATATTTTAGACGGTTAGCCACTCAGACTTTTCTTTTAGCAAATTTAAAAATAACAGGAAATTATTTTAAAATATGAGTTAAACAACCTAAAAGATATTTTTACCCACTAATCAACATACATACGACAACCCAATTTTATGGAAATCCTTTTTTATAAAAATTAAATATTTTTATGGAAATCCAATTTTTAACCCATACATATGTAGTATTTACATTCATATTAAATTACTTTAGTCAATTTTAATGAGTTAAATAACATAATTACCCCACCATGCTACTAAATATTTAAATAGATTTCATAATTTAAATATTTAACCCATGAAATTATGTATATTATTAAATTACTAAAGAAAGGGGAAAAAATCAAGTAATTGTTACAAAAAACAAATAATAGATTAAAAGGAAGAAATTGGCTTCATAAGTACTATGTTTCTATATTTTGAATATTCTACCCACTAAGTGTTTCAATAAAATTAAATATTTTTATGGAAAACCAATTTTTAATTCATACGTATTGAGTGTTTCAATTCATATGAAATGGACTTATATAAGTCATTTTTCCATGAGTCAAAGATATTTCAAGTTCAACTTTGTAATTTTAATATTTGTATTGAGTGCAAAGAATAGATTGCCCAATCATGCTACGTATATTACATTACATATTTTGAATATTTCACCCATTAAATTAATGAGATCATTAAATTACCAAAGAAAGGAAAGAAATCAAGTGCTACAAAATCTAACAACACCTAAAAACTTTGTATTTTTTATGTTGGGGTTAATAGTGGATGCTATTTGGCTACACAACATAAATATCGTCTAACTTTTCATCCTTCAAATCTATTTTGAACCCAACATTTGATCGCGCCTATAGAAATGAAGAAAAGTCGTTCAGAGGGAAGGTTGTTGTTTTGGGGACACTTTAGACAGATGATGCCACACGTCCTGAAGGGGGGAGAGCATATGTAGTAATGGCGGCGATCAACTCATCACATTTTTGGGATCACTATATTGTTCTTCATCTTAAAAAGAATATGAGATTGATGAAAGATCACAATGACTATGAAACAACAAACGGAAGAATTTGCTAAGTGGATTCTTAAGATTGGGGATGACAACATTGGAGTAGAGAATGGTGGTGTTCAAGAAGTGGAGATCCCAGATGATTTCCTCCTAAAGGTAAAAGATAACCACATTGCAGTTGTAGTTGATAGCGCATATCCTGATTTCCTTAGTAGTTTCAGTGATCCTGCATATCTACAAGAAAGAGCGATCATTGCACCTACAATGGACATTGTCAATGACATAATAACTACATGCTCTCATTAATCGTTGGTGAGGAAGTTACATTCTTTAGTTCAGATAGTATTATCCCATGCAGATATGTACACAAATGTGTTTCTTAATAGCATATCAATGTCTGGATTGCCTAATCATGTTCTCCATTTAAAAATCGGGGCATCGATAATGTTAATTGAAAAATATTGATGAGGTGGCAGGACTATGCAATGGAATGAGATTGGTCGTAGCAAAAATGGGAAAGCATGTGTTGGAAGCCAAAGTAATATAATTACAGGAAAAGCTATGGGAGATAAGGTTTACATACCCAGAATCCCATTGTCACCACCAAATACGACAATGTCATTCAATTTTCAGAGGAAGCAATTCCATGTAATGGTATGCTTTGCGATGACAATAATCAAAAGTTAGGGTCAAACGCTAGCACAATTCGATTTATACCTTGAATGACAAGTTTTCGCTCATGGTCAGTTGTATGTGGCAATATCAAGGGTGATGAGCAGAGATGGTCTGAAGATACTCATTCGTTCAAAAGAAAAAAAGTTCTCCATAAAGACGGTCAATGTTGTTTATAAAGAAGTTTTCCAAACTCTAACAATGTGATATTTTATGTATTCGGTTGTACACAAGTCACATGTTTTGTTCAATGCCAACTTTTATTGCGTCTCTTTAATTAAAATACTATTTAAATTGCTTCTCTAATTTTAAGAATATATATATTAGAACAAATTTAATAACCTCACTAGTTAAAACACTAGTTTGATGTAAAACAAAGTGCTTAACTTCTGATGTAATCATTTCAACTTCGTCATCACAGTATCTGTCCAAACGCCGGCCGGAGATACTGAAACGTGAAAGACTATCCCATGGACGACGTCGATCGATTATTTGAATGCTTCAAGTGCGGCGTGTCTCCTCCGCGTAACCGTTTTTCTGATATCCATCCTTTTCGTGTATTTGTTGTGTCTAGATTTCTGTTTTTTCAATATTACTGTAATCCTTTTTTATAACCATATTATACCTCAAAACGCTTGAGAGGAATTTTCAAAGTTGTGCCATTTCTCATTTCTGCAAGAAATCGAAGTTAATATTTCTTCAAGTCTGATAGTACAATGACGTCTGTTAATTATAGATTTGTAGAATGAAAATTGCGGGAAATTTTGTGCCTAATATGATGCTTAACAAAGCTGCTTACTTCCTTGTATCTAACAGACCAAAAAGTATGTTTTGTTTTGTTTTCTTTCTTAGAATCGGCTGTTAGAGAACGAAAGAGAGGGAAGAGAACTTTGAAACAGGAAGATTCAGCATGTAAGCAATTAGCTGAAAAAACCCCCAAGAGCACGGCAGAGACTGACCACTCGGTTGAAGATGTAATGTTTCCATCCTTTTTTAGAAAATGCTAATAAGCTGCAATTTAACTCCCCTTATCCCTTTTTCCATACAATGTGGTCTTTCATTTTCCACAATGTAGTTGATGCTACTAGCCTACTAATAATTAGTATCAATGTTTCTTTCAGTTCAGTTCATCCAAAGTGAAGAGAAATAGCTCTCGGAAGCAGTTCTCTCCACTTGTGTTTTATGGGTCTCCACATGGGGTTCCTCCGAAAAGGCCTACTAGTTTGTTGCGCCTGTTGCAAGAAATACATGTGGACCTTGGCGAACAAAATAAGCTAAGGTAACTTTACACATTAGACTTCTTATTGGCAGTGAGTTTTAGGATTTTTTTTTTGTTTTCTTTATTTAAAGTTGAAACTTTTATTGGTTTCTCACTTACTGTTTGATGCTTATGCAGACAAGAAATATGGGTTACATACCCTAAGCAGGATGAAGCAATGAAGTATGCAAAGCAGTGCACGAATGCTCGTCTTTTCAGCTATCAGAATCACATTAATGGCCAAAGAAGGTTTCTTGTTTCCACATATGAGCACTTTTGGAAAAGGTGTGTCCTCAGATACTAACCCACTTCAAAATTCAGTAAGTATGTATTATGTGCCAAGCTCCTCCTATGGTTGCTTTTTCTTGTAATCTTTTTTAGGTACAAAAATATGAATTCTAAAAGAAGACACCATTATGAAGTCATTCAGGAGGTAACAAATTTTCTGTTTTTTCTTTATGTTAGAACCCTTGTATTCAATGATAATATGGTCTACTTTCAATCTGCATTAACACTAAAAGGTATTGTAATATTTTTAGTCGATGGTGCAGTTTTAGTGTTTATGTTTCTTGATGCCCATTTAAGTGTTGTGTACTTGTGTAGTTGGACATTAGATGACTGTTTTTCATTCCAGGGCTTGCCATGCCACCTTTATTTTGATTTGGAGTTCAATAAGAAAGCGAATAGAGATAAGAATGGAGATGAAATGGTTGATCTCCTGATCATGGCTGTATTTGATGCTCTGCTAGAAAAATATTCTCTAGAAGGAAGTCATGACTGGATAGTTGAGCTTGATTCTTCAACTGATGGTATGACAAAAGCTTCTCCACTTGAACACAAGTGATTTAGGGTGCATGTCAATATGTGCGCATACACACACATATTATCTTTCTGCACAAGTCATTTTATATGACTCAGCTGTAGGAGTAAGTTGTAATGGTTATTTACATGAAGAGACTGAGCCATAGTTTTATGCAAAAGCTGCCCGCCTGCCACTGTTTTTATGTACAGCAACAACAACATCCAAGCCTTATTCCCAAAAGATTTTGGGGTCGGCTAACATGAATCGATCCATGATGCCACTGTTTTTACGTACAATATCAAATATATTATACCATGAAACTATGGTTATTTGTGGCAGAAAAGTTCTCCAGACATTTAATCATTAGATTACCAAAAGCTGCATTTAAGGACAACTCTCATGTTGGGGCATTTGTTACTGAGGTATGCTGATTTCTCTGAGATAGATGCGGTGTTTTTTCCTTGTTATAAAGTTCTTGTCATGCTTGGGTTTACAATACTTCAATTTTGTAGAGTGCCACACATCTGAATGATCTGCTATTCTAAGTAGAGGATTTCCAAAAAATATGAAGTACTCAAGAAATTGCTATTAAACAACTGATGCTTCATGTTTTTTATGTTGAGCAACTGGATTAATAATGATTTTCTGTGAGACGGTGTCAGATATGTTCACGGATATATACTTCAAGTATTATGGATGAGAGATTCAAAAAGCTCTTTGTCTTTAAAGATTCAGAATCGGATGGAATTCCAAGTAAGCTCTTTGTGGATACTGCTGTCTACTCTAGAAACCGCTGCTTTCGTCTAGCTCTATCATCTAAAGCAGGGAAGACGTCTGTGCTTCTACCTAGTGGACGCTTTAAATGTAAGGACATGGTATGTGACCCTTCTTTTGTTTAACATTTCTGATCGATTGAATTGAAATTCCTGTTCTAATTCTCACCTTATCCCAATTTGTACTCTCTATGAACTATATATCATTTTTTGGGGTTCTAGGAGCTGCAATTGTTGTCCTCTCCCTTCCCTTACACTGATTGCTAGCTAGCCTTGCATTTGACATGCTCATTTTTTTGTTATAAGTACTTTTTCTTTACATGACAGAGCGAGGAAGAAATGTTTATGGAGTCACTAATTTGTAATATGGACTCCGAATGCGAAAAACTTTTGGTTTGTATAATGGATTCAGATTGTGTTAGGGCCCTGCGTTTTGATACAGAGGTACTCAATTGCTTCTGTCTTGTAGTAAGTTGTTTATAGTAACATATTTGGTGTATTGGTTTTGTTAGCCTCATTATCCTATTTTTGTTGAAATGATTTGCTTATAGGTTGTATGCATTGAAAGCCGTACATAAAGTATTATTTCTTTAACAGATTACTGAAAATATCCAACAAACTTGCACCCCCCAAGCATTTGACTCAAAGCATTTTGAAAGTGATCCTTCAAGAACTTACTTGATGGGAAAGTCGCCATTCACAGCTTTAGATTCATTCATTGTGTTTATTGCCTCCATAGGAAGTGTGCCAGGTAAAAGACAAAAACCTACTTTTTTTTTTTGCTAGAACAGACATTTGAGGATCCATTTGGCAAACCACATCACATTTTTATTTGTCCCTTATACTTTGGAGTTTGGAGCAGGGGGAGAAATTTCGAAGTGTAAAATGATGTGCTTGAGGTTGCACTTAATTCTGATATCTTGGCAGCTGAATCTAGTAGTATTAGTTTAATTCTCATTTACATCTATTCCTTTCAATATGTTAGGAAAAATTCGGAGTTGGTATTGGTTCTCAGAGTATGGGCTGATGGTCTACAGCATGTCAAAAAACAGATATTGCGAAAGGATCCAGAGAGAACACAAAAGCAATCATGGTAATACTTAAATAATTTGTTTTACAACTCCTTTAATCCTTTAATGTACACACATCTTGCCTACAAGTACAAAATGTTATCTTAAAGATTTGTCTGCGCCATACTATTAATAGATTTTCTTTCTATGAGTTTTGCAAGGGTGGGCACGGCCTAGGACCAGCGGGGGTATTTCCCCAGCTGGCCTGTTTACAGCCCCATATCCCATTATACACTGTTACACACTGATTCAAGATGACATGTTAGTCATTTTTGGGTGAATTTTATTTTAGTAAATGGCCATTCGAATCTTGAACTTGAGCACTAGTGACGACAGGAGCATCTTTAACTAGGTAATCTTTTATTGAATGTAATTCTATTAAGTGCAACTTACTGAAATCTACTAAGCTCTCTTATACTGTATGTTTGTATGAAACTGGAGATGGTGCTACCTTACCGAGGTTCTACTTTCATTTACTTAGCTCTACCGAGCTCTACTTTGACTTGACTGCATGGGAATATGAGTTTATGGCCAATACAAGTTGGGGCCACATTGTTGCGGGTTCTAAAGCAAACCCCAACTTTGATCTCGTGTAACATTTGTTCATGAAAAGTGAAAAGAAAGGCGTGAATGCCTGCACAGTCATATTTTGAAATAGAATAAAAAATAGATCAATGTGGGGGTGGGGAGCACGCTTTACATATATGATATGAAGTTCTGTTCGAGTAACACTCAGAGGGTAAAGAAATGACGAACCTAGGAATGATTTTTGTAAATTATTGGTATAGACGTCTTGTGTGCTTTGGTAGCATTGTAGTTCTCTATCAATTTTTTTGTTGTTGTTGGATGTGCTAGTGATGTACGTTGTTGACCTTAGAAGGGGCGTTTACTACCAGAAGTGCTATGATCCGGATTGCAGAGGTAAAATGGTCAAATCATCACGTCCCAGTACATTTGCTTAAATATTTAAAAGTAAAATATCTGCAATTGTGATGGTGACAGGTTATCGATCCCCTTTGCGTCCCGTCCCTGGCAATGTCATGGCTCATTGTTCATTGTCCTTTGGTCTGGAAGTCAGCACTGAAGATAGGGAGCACACAACTGTAGCTACTGATCGGGATATTACAGATAGCTGCAAGAAAGACTGGTGGCTTGAAGCTATCAGATTTGCAGATCAGCTAGAGAGCACACCAACAGCCCTGGATGTATGTGATGTAAGTTGGATGCATTTTATCCGATAAAGTTCATAAGTAATCTTCAGCTACAATTAAGCTCTGTTTGAGTGTGTAATTTTTTGTTTTGTTTTGTTCAGACAGCTATCTCTTAATAGCATTTCATAAGAAAACTTTGTTTTTGTTTTCTAAATTGTTATCGCTATTCACTAATAATTTTGTTATTTTTACTAAAGTAAAACATCTCATCAGTTTCTCATTTGAACTTTTATTCTTTTTGCAACTATTATTTAATAGTTTATCGATATTCTTTTATGTCTGTTGACACGTGTTTTTAGCTTTAACCATCTACTCATTTATCTTTTCCACTTTTTAACTAATTTTTCATGTGAGTTTGTCAATATATCCTCTTCTAGATAAATTGAATTTACGCAAGAAAAGCTAAGGTAGTTTCTGGTTACTCTGTCAAGGAAAAACAGGAGGGAAGATCAGGAGAAGATGAAGACTGGTGGGTGACAGTGGAAAGGATTGCAACCCAAGCTGAACAGGCTTACCTTGGACAAGCTTAGAATCTATTGTTAGGGTTCTGGGATTGAGAACGGGTCCAAGGACGACTTGCTGTGGCAGGGTGAGTCGGTGAGGGCAAAACCTGCCGCCTAGGGTGACTCTTCTTCTTGCCCGTGGCTGGAAGAGCGCAGGGAGGAGAGAGAGTCCGTGACTTCTCTGCGAACAATTTCTAAAGATCGATAGATTTTATTAAGGCTGAATAAAGAATATAAATAGGCAGTCTGCCCTTTACATGATAGAGTTCTACTCTAACTAAAACTGTAACTTCTAATACTTCTATTAATAATAGGAAATAATAAATAAATAAATAAATAAATAAATAAAGAAATAAATAAATAAATAAAATAAAATATGAAAATAGCATCAGGATAGATTCCTCTTCCAATTAAACTTCCTGCCGGCCCATATGTTTCCTCCTGCGATAGGGAATTCCATAAAACGCATCCGTAACATCACTCCCTCCCTCAAAACTGAGCTTGTCCCCAAGCTCAAATCCTGGATAAGCAGCAATAAAAGTGTCAAACGGTTCCCAAGTTGCCTCCTCAGCTGTGTGGCCTTGCCAATGGACTAGCAGCTCCTTCTCACCTTCGACCTCGATAAAGAAAAGCTTCTTGCACCGGTGATTCATCGACCACAGCTCATCACAATTATAACAGAGCCCTCTTGCTCGCCGTTCTGCCATTTCACCCTTCGTGAGCCGTTTAATAATCGGGTTTCCTGCCTTAGTTGTCATGGGTGTTTGTCTATGTTGTTGCGGGCTTCGTTGTTTTGCATCTGTTGCAACACTCCAGCCTTTGACAGGTGCAATTGTCAATGACTGCTTTGCTTCTAACGTCCGCGCAAGGTTCATTGCATACCCCAGGTTTCCTGGTTTTGCCATCTCCACATCCGCCCTCAAGTGAGGTTGTAAACCAGCGACATATAAAGCAATCTGATGTGTGGGTTGTATTCCTGAAGTTCTGGCTAAGGCTTTTTGAAATTGGGCACAATATTCATCAACTGTCCCTTTTTGCATTAAAAGCTTTAGATCACCTACCGGGTTAGAACTCAGAGGGGGCCCAAAACGCTCCAGGCAAAGGTCTTTAAACCTATCCCAATTGACTTCACCTTCTTCCTCGATCATCTGGTCAAACCAGAGTTGTGCATCATCTATCAAGTGGAATGCAACAACATTGACCTTGGCAGCACCAGGAGTTTCTTGATTCAAGAAGAATTTTTCGCACCTTTTCAACCAGCTGATAGGGTCAGAGTTGCCATCGAATACTGGGAATTCCATCTTCGCATATTGTGGTCTCCAGGGGTTCGTGGTTTTCTGCCATGGATGGTCTTGCACTCGGCTGTTATCCACTTCATCTTCCTCCGTTATTATTGACTTCGAATCGCGTTTGTGGACTGCCAGAGATAGAGCGGCAATCTGCTCTTCTATGGCGGATGTCCTAGCGGTCATCGTCTCCATGAATTCCTTCATCATGGTGGCTAAATCATCTTGCGGTTGTGGCGCCATGGATCTTGACGTCTCTGATACCAAATTGTTAGGGTTCTGGGATTGAGAACGGGTCCAAGGACGACTTGCTGTGGCAGGGTGAGTCGGTGAGGGCAAAACCTGCCGCCTAGGGTGACTCTTCTTCTTGCCCGTGGCTGGAAGAGCGCAGGGAGGAGAGAGAGTCCGTGACTTCTCTGCGAACAATTTCTAAAGATCGATAGATTTTATTAAGGCTGAATAAAGAATATAAATAGGCAGTCTGCCCTTTACATGATAGAGTTCTACTCTAACTAAAACTGTAACTTCTAATACTTCTATTAATAATAGGAAATAATAAATAAATAAATAAATAAATAAATAAAGAAATAAATAAATAAATAAAATAAAATATGAAAATAGCATCAGGATAGATTCCTCTTCCAATTAAACTTCCTGCCGGCCCATATGTTTCCTCCTGCGATAGGGAATTCCATAAAACGCATCCGTAACATCTATCTTGGGCATACCAAACCGATAAACTACCAGTTTACTTTTACTCCATTCTGTATAAGCGAGTTGTTTGCTGACAATTGATTAGGTAGTTCTCTGAGAAGAAATGTTTGGTAAAAATGGCCTAAAAATTAGTTAAGAAAATGTAAATTGACATAGGAATGTAAAGGGCTTTTTGGAAATAAAACAAGATATACTGGTTATTAGTAATTTAACACAGAATATTATGTCATTTGCGAAGTAAAAAAAAGTGCTAAAAGAAAATGAAAACAATACACACACATTTAGTCTGGTCCATGAAAGAAAAGCTATTTTTGTGTATCTAAGACAGCAATACTCTTCTTTCTCCAATTGTGGGTAGACCTGGACGACTGGACCTGGGCTGACTTTGGGAGAACTGGAACGTCAATCAGGTAAATTGATTCTGGTTCTGATTTGAAGTAACCGGATCCAGTTGTGTCTATTCAAAAACGCAAAATTGGTTGGTTCGTTGTTATCATGACTCTGATTTGGTCCGATGTTGGGTACTGATGTTGGCACTGGCCTGTCAAAGTGGGTTTGAGCTTTTAACTGTATGTAATTTTGAATTTTATGTATGAATCATGTGATGAAATGATTTTCAAACTGTTTCATATTTTGTGTCATAGTAGCACTCATTTAAAACTACACCCTTTGTTTCAAAATGAGACACATTTGTGGTTGAATATGTGATTGCAATTATTTTAAAGAGATTGTTTCATACTTTCATGTTGTAGCAGTCATTTTTTTCTCAAAATTACTCAGTTTCAAAATTAAAGATACAATTGTAGTTGTATTTCTACGATTCCAACTTTTACAAGAAAAACTAGTATGAGCCTATAAGCAAAAGAGTGGAGAAGCTAAAATAGTGGTGTTTGGTTTAGAAAATTCTTCACATTTTGAGATGCTAAAAAGGAAAGCTGCGCCCTGCTTCAATGGGATTGAAGAACATCGTGACCTTTTATATCAATGTACTTTTTGATCTTATATATGAGCATCCCATGAAACCCTCGATTTGTAAGATTTTTAAATTAGGCAGCCACCTTGCAAGTAAAATATGACTAAATTATTTAAGTAGGTGCATAATATTTTGTAAAATTGAATGTAAAGTGTTTGCATTGTTTTTTTTATGAGCATTGTTTTATATTTAATTATAATGTTATACCAGTAAAATATTTTCATAGTACAATATAAAATGTTTTGAAAAAACATCCCACAGTTATAAATTTAAGAACCAACTAATGTAAATCTTATCCGATGCCCTGTTAACGTGGAATCAGGGGTGGACTCGAGTCGGGCCGCCCGGCCTGAAACCGGACCGGCCCGGTACTGTTTGGGCCAGGCCCGGTACCCTGTCTTGGGGCCGGTTCGGGCCAACCGGAACCGCTCAACTCCCGGTGCGGGCTCGGGGCCCCTAAAATGCGAACCGGCTGGTTCGGGCCTATTTTTTTTTTCTACCGGGTTGGACTGGGTGTTTGGGGTGGGGGGGGTGGGGGGTGGGGGGTGAAGGGAGGGGTCGGGGGTTATTTAGAAAATCAAAAGAAAATAAAAAAAATTAACATTGAACTGAAACCGGCCCGGCCCGACCCGGAACCGCTGCCTACCCGGGCCGGTTCCGGTTCACCCTTCCCAAAGAAAAAGCCCGGCCGGGGCCAGGCCCGAACCGGAACCGGCCCGGGTCCATCCCTACGTGGAATAAAATGGTATTGTGATTTTCTTTCCTATTAATATTGTCCTTTGAAGTGCTAATTGTTTTATTTCCAAAGGACACTAGTAACTCAGTCCTATTTTAACTAGTTTTCAGTGTTTGTTGTTATGGAAATTAAACACTACTTTAGTTTCCTAGATATTTGTTTCTTAGATTAGATTATTCTGGGCTTAAAACAATTCAAGGTCATCCAAAGGATAGAGAATGGATCCAAAAAGACAAAAAATGTGCATAGGGAATATTCGATCAGGTAGTTGCTTGATTTGGGCATCTAAATCAAATCTGGGGAGCACATGATCGTGCATGATTATTTTGTAAAGATTTGTCTTATACCCGATTGGGTATGACGGGATTTTGCACATTTCAGGCAATTGCCTCATATACTCGATCGGGTACCCTATATACCACCTGGTCGGGTACCTGGCCCTGCCAGCTCCAAACCCATGTAAAAGCACCATTTTCCTTCCTATTGAAGACCACCAATTCACATATACTCCTAAATTGAGTTTAAAATAATGTTTTCTTTATATTTCTTTCATGTTTAGTCTCCAAATGAGGAGATAAACTTCTTTAAACTTTTTGCTCTTTAAAGTGGTGAGTTATTATCTTAACTTCTTCTCTTGAATATTAATTCCTCCCTTAGCCTATCTCTATATTAATGTTAATATGCTAAGTGACGATTAGTTAACACTTTAACATTAATTACTACTAGATACGATCAATGAATCAATGGTTAACCATTGATGTTTTCACGAGTAAGTAACTTCGGATTACTAATTGATGGTCTCATGGTTAATAATCTTAAGAGAGATTCATTGTGCTGGTTAAACCGAAACCGTTGAGTTAATGTTATCAGTCTCAATTGACATCATCAAGGAGTTAAGAGATTAAATGCTACCATTAAGTCGGTATATGACTGTGTTATATATTTGGCTAATAGTAAGAGTTATTAATGAACGGTCTCGTTATTAATAATTACCCTCGATGAATCAGATACTCTTCGATTGAGTATTCGAGAAGGAATAAGTTAAAGATATAATCGCGATCAACAAACATTTCAACAAGTGAAAAGTAGCAAAGTCAAGTCTTTAATTTAAACCACATAAGTCGATCATCATGGTGTTCTAATATTTCTTAAAAACAAATAAATTAATGAACAATTCACTTCGTATTTGATTATCCCTTTTATTATTTTTATATCAAAAATTAATATTGCTAACATAAAAGAAATATTTTAAAACTTACAGTAATTGTTGGTGCTGCAAAGTACTACGTATTAAAATATACATTACAGTAAATTTAAGTTTATTAAGTTTAAACAATACCAAAGAATAGTCATGGACTCGGGTTGGGCCGCCCGGCCCGGTACCCGGTTATAGGACTGGTTCGGGCCACCCGAGCCCGGCCCGGTACCCGGTTATAGGACTGGTTCGGGCCACCCGAGCCTGGCCCGGTACCCGGTTATAGGACTGGTCCGGGCCACCCGAGCCCGGAATTAATCGGGCCGGGCTCGGGCCTCCTAAAAGTGGAACCGGTCCGGCCTTTTCTTTAGGTTTTTTCAATTTTTTTGGTTTCTCCCGAGTTGGTCTGGGTGTTTTGGGGGGGTTTGGGGGGTGGGGGTGAAGGAAGGAGGGGTTAATTAGAAAAGCAAAAGAAATTACAAAAAAAAATATGAACCGGCCTGGCCCGGAACCGGTGCCTATCCGGGCCGGTTCCAGTTCTTCCTTCCCAAAAAAAGCCCGGCCGGGCCCGGAACCGGAACCGGCCCGAGTCCATGACTACCAAAGAATAATGTTTTTTAAAAAGATTATAACAGATCAAAATTTTGAAACAAGACTAAAGTTAATATATGAATTTGAAATACTTATTTTATACGGGGAAAATTTAATTTGGTAATAAAAATTAAAACCTATTTTGATTCTATCTAGATCTATAACAAAACTATTATTTTTATATTTTATTTTCTTTGCGCCATTTTTTAGAAAAACAAGCTTTTAAGTTTTAATGTTTTGTTTTTCCATGGTTAAAAAAAAGTGTTTTGTTTTTCCATATTCCAAACCCAAAAGGCCAAAACAGAGTTTTTGAATTGAACAAGGGCTAATTTGCTCCTTGATAGAAACACCAAGGATAAGTCTACTTTAGGAGTTTAGGACTTTAGGTGCCGTGCAAATCCACCTAGGTACTGTATAGTAGTCAAGTACGGAGTACTACACATTTCTTCAGTATTACACAAAGATAACTAAATCACTTAAATTTCAACTTTCACTTTTATTAATAAATTTGGGTAGTGTTCCCCGCCACTCCTGCCACCACGGCACCACGTGTGGTTAACTCCGGGTCCAAAAAAAAAATCACTTAAATTTATTTGTATGCACATCCTTTGCAGCTCTGTAAGTATGTATTAAATAAATCCGCAAATGTTATAATGCTGTACACTTGCACCGGGGGTAACTAGTAGTATACAATTATGAAGAGCTACATTCAATATATTCAGGGCTGGAAAATGGAAATAAAAATAAATATAGGAAGAAAGGAAACTGGAACAGAGAAACGCCCATTGATACTACGGAGTACTATGTACAATATTCTAAGCCAGGGTACACAACCTGACGCATAGTCACAGCTGGCAGTTCAGAACTTCATCAAGATTCAGTTTGCTGAGCTTCTTTCCTCCGTTGCATCTTTTGGAGCCTCGGGAATAGTAGATTGTTCAGTTGCCTCTCCGCACTATACTCCGAGGAGGCCTGCAAATACATCACATTTCACTATCAAAGTTTTAGAGAAATTTAAACCAAAAAGCCAATAAATCATACTAGGAAGTAGAGTCTTGGGAGGGTAAAAGCATTTTTGACAACGAGACCCTCAGGCAAATAGCGAAAGAAAGTTTGAAAACTGCGTTGAACAAAAAAGTGGCATCTTGAGAGCTCAGTGATGGTGGTGTAGAACAGCATACCCGCTTTTTGAATGGGAAGCGTAATGTTTGAACTTGTATTCCAGAGCAAACTCTCACATCAATGCCAAGGCTATCCATACCTATCAGAGCTACTTCCTGCCATGTTTATCATTGAAAAAAAATACTAGGATGACTGTGATTAATGAAAATGATCTTGCACACACTGGTAAACATAGTGACATGTAACCGCCCCATTAATTTTTTGTCAATTGCTCCAATTGTTTTTTAAAAAAAATACACTATTTGTCACATTTTTCTTGTAACATTCGCAATTCCATGAGTTAACCAAATTTCTTTTCATTTTTCAAATTTGTGTCAAAATTTTAACATATTCGAATTTAGTGTTGCGGTCCAACAGAATTTTTAGTGCGGTTTCTAAATATGTAAATTCTAATCATGAATACTACGGAGTAATATAGATATTATTAGGAGAGATTTCACAACTTCCGACAAACCTAGCAACACAACAATAGGAAACAAAATGGGATGGATGGAGCTATATTAGTAGGTAGCATTCACATATACCCATTTCCCCAACCAAAAAATCATGTGTCCACCATTGGCGGAGAATTCATTGGTTTGCCATGACTACATAAATGGCAACATGACGTGAGCTTTCTCGCATTTAAAAAGATTGTAGAATAGTGGGGAAAGTACGAGTATCGTCTCCCCAGGGACGAACAAAAGGGAAATAAGAATTAACTAAATTCAACGATTAAAAAGAAATAAAATAAAATGAAATTGTGCGAGATTGGTTGATTTGAAAAATTAAACTAATGCAAATGAGTGATAAAATAAATAGATTGGTTTCTCTCTAATTAACGACGAAGGGAACAGAAATTGATTTCGGGGTAACCATATTTCTGGCAGATCAGGCTTAACTACATGAATTTAATTTAACTGAGCCTAGCTAATTCCAAGACGAGCGAGCTTACGACTCCTTAATCGCTACTAATCTCTTAGCGAACAATTAAGTGT